TATGCTGAGCGAGTTCGGCCCTTTTGATTTATAGGACTAGGTATTTTTTTCATGACAAGATTATAGAAAAAGAAAAGCATAGTAAAGTGGACTGTGGACTCGGGGAATTGCAAAACAATGAAATCATTAATTTTTTTTTCTTTTCAAAGAGAAAAGCGAACTGGGGGGAGTGGTGGGCAGGGAGAAAAATGTGCAATAATGAATAAATGAGGGGAAATGAAATGGAAAGTATATAGTGTAGAAAAAAATAAAATAAAAAGTTGGAAACAGAAATACCATTTGACCCAGTAATTCCACTACTGGGAATATATTCTAAAGAAATCAGAACTGTCACCCAAACAAATATATGCAAAGCTATGTTTATTGCTGCACTGTTCACAATAGTGAAGAGATGGAAACAACCCAAGAGCCCATCAACAAACAAATGGTTAGAGAAGCTGTGGTATATATTCATACAATGGAATACTATGCAGCACTGAAAAATAAGGAACTCATAAAATATTATATAAAAGGGGTAGCCCTGGAGGACATTATGCTGAGTGAAATATCTCAATCACAAAAGGACAAATACTGCATAATGCCACTGCTATAAAACAGAACTGACATGGCGGTTGGGGGAAAACTAAGAAAGGAGGGAATAAATAATGTATAATGCATTGAAACAGAAGAGGAAAAGAACTGTTTAAATGGAATATATGATTAGGTTTGCATGACAACAGTCCAGAATAAGAGCTACATAGCAGAGTGGACTTAAGGGGGAAGGGGAGGAAATTATGCAACAATGAAGGAATTTTTTTTCAAAGAGAAAAGCAAACTGGGAAGGTGGGTAGGGAGAAAAATGTGCAACAATAAATGAATGGAAATACAAGTTCTCTATAAACTTTCACTAAAATATCAATTAGTTAAAATTTAAAAAATTTTAAAAAGGAAAAACCTTGCCAATAAGGAGAATGATGGCAATTATGTATCTTTTAATTGCATTTTACATGGTTTTCTATCTGTCTAATCTAGATCAATCTTATTTCTCATTGAAGTAAATCTGTTACAACTTTACAGGACAGATTCAACACAGCAGACATAAGACCACTCTTCACCTATAAAATACACGTGTCAACAGCCTGAAAAACAGCAACAAAGTGAAATCCACCATCAACATTACAACTGAGCTGGCCCATCCATATGACTGGTTATAACTAAGGAATGGAAACCCTGTCAACCACCACACCTGCAATAACAAAGGAAGGTAAGAAACGTTTTGGGAGCAATGGAAGCAGACTCACCGCTGAAGGTGGGTACTGGGATCTTCTCGCTGGAATGAACGGGGAGTCCTGCCAGCTCTTCACCATACTCTGCTGAATTAGCTGGGTCAGGTTTGGGACTGGATGTGCCTGGTAAAGAGAGAGAAATCCTTGTGAACCTGGGTGAACAAAGATAACTGGCAGTGCATGAATGTCTTTCAAAGGAACCTCCAACCCAAACATAAAGGGATCCATGAAGGCCCTAGTACCCGTAAAAGGACATGAATCTTAGAAGAACATGGGGCGTGTCAGACTAGTACTCAAAAGATGTGAAGAATATGCTGAAAAGGAGGAAAAGCAAAATCTCAGAAGGTAGACTGAAGGGTCATGTTTGGGAGAGGCAGTGTTATCTGCTGGAGAAGAGCCTGGACTCCAAGCCAGCTACACTGAGTTGTATCCTCATTCAACACTTTGGAGGCACAGAACAGGGAGCCAGTAGCTCAATCTGATACTTTCATCATGTTTAACACAGGACAACACCTCCAATCATAAGGATAAGGATGATATGAAATTGGAGGAGTTACTGTATGCAGTGCACCCACTGGACCGCCAAGAATCAAATGCAAAGAAATTTCTGGCTATACATCTGCTAGATTCCACTCATCGTAGTTCCAAATGGTGATACTAATGATTTTCCACCCTGAGTACTTCAGGACGAACTTGTGTCTATAAAATAATATAAATATTGCCTAAGAATTCCTAGTCCTTCCACTTCCTTCCCCTGGGTTATCCTCACCTCCTGAGACCATATTGCCATAGTTCTCCAGCATGAGGTTCCAGTAGTGCTCCTTCTGAGTAGAATCCATGTCCCTCCACCGCTCCTGGAAAATACACAATGTCATGACCTAAAAATGGCTCCAAAGGAAGGTACCTAATGCTTCCTAGAGGAAAAGTGAGAAGGAATGAATGTACCAAAAGAGGCTGAGCTTCTGAAGATCTGAGAAACCCTTGGAAGTCAGAATAATGGAAGAAGAGGCCAAGAGTAAAACTGCAGGCCCTACTGCTATATTTCTTGTCCTGAGTAGAAAACATTTCCTTTTAACTTGTATGGCTATGTTTTTAAGTTGTATGTTTCTAAGGGTAAAATAAAACTCTTTCTATTGAAGGAATCACATACTGGAGATAGGTTTTTCAACCTCTCCACACTTAAATATTCTCAATATTTAAGTGAAATCTAGAAATTCCAAGGTAAAAACAAATGAAAAAGGAATGCATTGGTAGTGCAAAACTGCTTAAAAGAAAAAAATAATCAACATGGAAGTGGACTGTGTTTAAGCCCCATCCAGAGGCAAGACTGGTGTATTCAGAGACAGGGCAACACAGTCCTGTATTTTCCCAAGTTCTGAGTTTAGATTGTAACATTCATTCAATGGATGAGTTGTCATGAATAAGGTAGTCTTCACATATCCTCTAAATGAAAGTTCTCTGATCACTCAGTGGTACGCAGTTGCACTGCCAAACAAAAGGAAAGCAGTTCAAATTTACTAGCTGGTCTACAGGCAAAGATGAGCAAATTCCTCCCCTGCAATTTACTGACTGAAAACTCACTAGAGGGTCAGCTATGAGTTGATTCCAACTAGATAGTTCATAACAACAAAAATTAATTATAGGGAGCTCGGGTGACCTACTCTGTAGGGAATTACGCAGCCAAGTCACAGGTGGTGGTTCTCTGTTGGTTCAAATCCATCCGTGACTCCACAGGAAAAAGATGAGTTTACTCCTCCAATGTGATTTAAAGTTTCCAAAAACCTTTTGGAGAGTCAGTTGTGTAAGTTCCAACAACAATGAGTATGACTTTTGAACTATGCAGAATTAAACTCAAAAGAGGAAGTCCTACTGCCTTCTGGTTCTATGGCCTTCAGCAAATTGCTAAATATTTTTAAGTCTTAGTTCTCACTTAAATTCTTATCAAGAAAGGGGGGAAATCAGGTTTACAGATCTCTTATGCTACATTATCAGTTTTCTGAAGCACAGTACTTTTAATTCAAAGCATTCATCACATTATCAGCTGTTGAATCCACAATATCTCACAGAGTCCACAATATCTCACAGCGATTTTATGAATCAGTAGGGAGCTGGAGGAAATAGGAAGAGTTAAATAAAGAAAAAATATCCCAAATCTCCTGAGAACTATAATATCCATGCTGAATGAACCCTAGGCACAAGATACATAAATGACTTGCAGGTCATTACAGGTATAATGTAATCCATCTTTTACAGAAAATGATGAAATAGTTAAAAAAGTAAAGAAAACACAATCCATGCAGAAGAAAAAGGAAAACATACAGTATGAGTCCATTTATAGGAAATCCTAAAAAATACAAACTTATCAATGGTGACAGGTATCAGATGAGTTGCCCAGAATCGGAAAACGAAGTCAGAGAAAGTCAAGTGAGAGGGACTGTAAATGCACATGAGAAAGTGGAGGGGTGATGGGTATGATTATCTTATTTATAGCAGAGACGAGTAGATGGCTATAAAGAACAGAAATTTATTCTCTCCCATTTTAAGAAGCTAGAAGTTCAAATTTAGGCACTAGCTCCACAAGATGTTTTTCTCTGTCAGCTCTGGGGAAAGTCTTGTGCTTTTTCAACATTTGTGAGCTAATGTGGTGTCAGAAACCCTCAAAATTGGCTCTTCTAGCCATTATATGAGCCCTTGATGAGGGACGAGGGGCATAGTCTCCAGCTACCTTAACTGTGGACACGAAGTCTTCCAAATCATTCACAGCTGTGGGGCCAATATCAGAGAGAAGAGAGAGCTTTCTACACTGTGAGGACTCCTTGCGACGATGGTGGTGGAGAGATTGTAAAGAGACAGCAGCACTTCTGTGAAGAGACTATGGCAAGGTGCAACCTGAGGTTGCTTGTGTTTGTGCTGACCACAGTTAAAGGTTTTGCTTGCCAGGCGCCTGGAAAAGCTGACTTATAACAGCTGTAAGGGAAGACTTGCTGGATGATTGAGGAGACCAGAGGATTCTTAAATTTGTGCTGTTGAACTGAAACTAGGATTTTAACTAATTGAAGAATTTGTTTTGTTTTTAATCTGAATTAGGAATCCTGGTCTAAACTTCAAATTGCACTGAGTGATATTCTTTACCTCCTCATTGTCTAATTTATTTACCTAATAAACCTCACAACTGTGAGTCAAGTCTGTGAGTCAACAACAAATACTGGACAGAAATAATACAAAGAACAGGTGCGGGGGGTGGGGGGGAGCATGTCTGACTGACCACACTTTCTATTTGCTGCTATGGTTATTGATGGAGTGGTTTCCCTTTATGAAGTGGACAAAAGTTAAAACTCAGCCATCCCAAACTCCCAAGTTGCAGCTACCCTTTTTATACCTAGGTACTCCTTGGTGACGTACCTGTGCTTGGCCACTCTTCGCCTTAGACCTATGAGTTCACAGCACAGGACCCAGATCTCATGAGCCACTCCTGGCTCTGCATTATTAGTGTTAGTAAAGTTCTCCCATCTACTCTGCTTCCTTCTCCTTTTATCTCTCTCAGAAATATTGTAGCTTTGAGACAAGATTTGTCTCATCACAGGTCTTTTCCACTTTTGTTTAGAGCCTAGATTCTCCTCTTCTAAATGGCAATTAGAATTCTATATTCGGCCTTGCTTTTGAGAAATTCATCACCTGGGTCCTTTACTTGCTGATATTTCAATTCGAAGGGCGTAGGAACAATGAAGAACTGTGATTGACTTTTGGGAAGGAATGAAAGTTTCAAATGGGACCTTTGAATGTTTTTATCTTTCATACTGAGTTAAAAGAGTATTTAGTGATCATTTTTACCATCTATACATAAACTACACAGCTGATATTGAGCTTCTCCAGCGGTTCCTTCCACAGATGTAGTCGATCTGATTCCTATGCATACCATCAGGTGAAGTCCATGTGTATAACCTGCGT